ACTTGGCAATAGGGCAACAAATTTCATGCTGGTGTAGTTTTCTGACATGTCAAATATGGCAGCACTTCAACTCATCAACAGTGCTTACATTTCAAAACCTTATCATGGTTTCCATTTCCCTTCCACCTAAACCATCTAGGCCAGCAGTCCCCATCCTTTTTGAAACAATTTTTCCATGGATTGGGTGGAGGCATGATTTCGTAAGCTACCTAGAACCCACACATGTGCCTTCACTTGCTTGTGTGGCCCCGTTCCACCCCTGATCTAAGCTAACTTCATTTCTCAATGTCTTCATACTATCTGCTTCCCATTTCTCAGACTACCCTACCAGCTTAGCAATGTGAAGGTTGCTCTTGTCAGGTGTATCTATCTGTTCCTTTTTTTAAGCTGGAATAATTTCCCCCCAACTGAAATTAGAAATAATTTCATATGATGGCATTTGCATTTGTGAGAGATTGTGAGGAGACTGGGAAGTAATGAAAGGTTTGTTAGAAATAAATAACCAACTATTAACCAGTGGAACAGCTTGCCTTCAGAAATTGTGGGTGCTCCATCACTGGAGGTTTTTAAGAAGAGACTGGACAGTCACTTGGCTGAGAAGGTATAGGTTCTCCTGCTTGAGCAGGGGGGCTAAACTAGAAGACCTCCAAGGTTCTATTCTATTCTATTCTATTCTATTCTATTCTATTCTATTCTATTCTAATAGGAGGGGAGAGTTCATGGCTAGATCACTTCACAAACACCAGAGCTCAGTCCTGGATATAAAAAAAACAGTGAAGAAAAGCTTCAAAATGTTCAAAAGCATTCTGTCTTAATGGACCCATTAAGAAACAAGGACAGAAGAATTTCCTCTTGCAGTTTACAAGATTCTGTACTTTATCCCTAATTTTACATGAACAAAAATTAAAATCTGTATAATTCTTGCTTTCTTAATCATACTCTGCTGTGGAAGATTTGACAGAACCCCCAATTCTCTGTTTTCTTCTTCATTATTTTCCTGTCCACTCCCAACTCTAGTAACAAAGTCTACGTTGTGACATTTTGGGCTATAGATCTTTTGCTTATACTATATTGTTTATAAATTACAACTCCACCGATGGCATAATAATGAGAATAGCTAACAGGAATCTGTGTAGTCTTTCTCTGAAGTTTTCCAGTGAGGAAAAGTCAACAGTATGGTTTCTTTTGGCCATGTGCACGCATATTTCTTTTTGCAAAATAAAGCATGTAGTTACATGTTTTAGAACAGGAGTCCCCAACCTGTTAGAAATCAGGTTGCACAGTTGGAGGCGAGTGGTGGGCAAGGGAAACTGCGCATGTGCAGGATCTAGGTTGTGTGCTCCTCCTCCCCCCCCCATGGAAAAATTGTCTTCCACGAAACCAGTCCCTAGTGCCAAAAATGTTGAGGACTTCTGTTTTAGAGAAAATGTCTGGTAACTGGTATCATTTCAAAAGAAAATATATTTGATATTTATTATTTCTCACCTACAGTAGTCAAGATCCTAATCATTTTTATAAGACAATCTACTCCAAACACTGAATTAAATGTTTTAGCCCTCCTTCTCTCTGTGGGGGGAGGGATTGGATGATTAGATATTCCTCTATTCATAGACATTGAAAGGTGTCTAGTTATGTAATTTGTATCTAAATGCATAACATGCCTGTAAGCACACAGAAATGCACACATATATACTACATATTACTCAAACATTATTGTTTAGTTATTTTATTCTGTTGTAAGATATGTCTGCAATTAACTATTGCATCTGGTCATTTCTGTGTCTCGGTGAAAGAAGACAAACTAGAGCTAATTTGCAGCGCATATGTTCTCAGTATCACTGTGTATTATACATATGGAACATTTTAAAAATAATTTCTGCTTCACCACACCAGAGTATCATTTGAAAATGCTGAGACTATCTGCTCTGGCTATTTTAAATTCTAAAATAAAATAAAATAAAATAAAAAAACTTACTATTTTACACCATGATTCCCCAATAAAACTTCAATCTTGAACTAAGCTCCAGACTAATGTCAGGACTGTGGCAGTCTCTGTCCAGAAGGCTTACGTTACTGATGACTTGTTAATGCCTCTCTGCTGGAAGGCTGATAATTAAAAAATATCTACCATTTTAAAAAACTAGTGCTGAAAGATCATGGCTGATCAGAAGGAGTAGTGTAGTTCTACGGCCCTTGCTTAGTGTAACACATTTATCCTCTTCTGTGTCACACAAACAAGGAAAATGGACAGTGCAGGAGACATGAGAGTTGGAGATCGTCCTTTGTAAACTCACTGCTCCTGAAATGATGTAATTCTTCCCTGATGGTTTGATTTATCCGTTTTCTCTCTGGCACTCTGAACCTGGAAGTGATTTTTGATAGGTTGTCCCAGCTTAAGGAATTATAGGTTTCTCCTCTAATAAAAAAGAGCCAAACCAGTAATCCTTTGATATATTATTGCTGGTTATTATCAAAACTGGTATATTTGTTTATTAATTAAACCAATTAGTTAAAAGATCACTACACATGAATATTGTTTATTTTGTACTCTTCAGTGCCCTTTTATTCTTCTCACCTCTGCTACATTCTTATCTTTGATGTTTTTCTCCTTTGCTTTTCTCTTCTCCTTGTCATCTTCAGTCTCATTGGTACACAGCACTTTAAGTTGTTTGGCTGTGAAAACTCAGATGTGTCGTTGACAGTTGTTAGTGGCATCTGGGATGCTTCTCAGTGTAATCTCATTCCTCATTCCTGTCAGTTGTGTCAAACACATTGAAAGAAAATGAAGCTGTAAGGCCAGATAAATAAAATGATATTGAGAAGAACGGAATATGTTAGAAAGAGTGTCAAAAATTACAAGTGTGTGCCACCAGTACAAATTTGTAACTAGAAATGAGCCCACAGTTTGAACTCATCCATCCTTGGTATCCAGATGATCCAATTTTAAGATTGAGAAGACCTAGGCTTGGCCCATGTATGTTGCCAATTTTTATGGCTCATTTCCACTTACTATCTTTCTGCTTAAGTGAATTTTCAGGATTATTGTGAAGATCAAACGGGAGCAGAAGAGAGCCATTGACATCATTTTGAAATCCTTGGAGGAAAATACATTTAAATGAAGCAACTACTGCTGCCAGTTTATTTAAGACACTGAGAGGCTCAGGGGCACAATGTTCATTATGGCCTCATGTTTTCTCCTCAGTGCTTCTTATGTTGATGTAAATTTTCTCTTTATTTTCTTTTATCTGTTGTCCAATAAAGTGGCAGTGCTTAGGGAAACTCAAAATACTGAAAAAACTGTTTGAATTACTAATTGATTGGTTTTACAACCTTGAATGAAAAATATTGAGCAACTTGATTATTTCAAATTCTGAACCAGACCTTGGACGGGTCTTTCTTCCTATGTGGGTCTTGGAGGAATAATTCCCCATTGACATTCCTGATCCCCAACCTTTGAAAATCTTATGCC